ATATTTTTAACTGAATCAAAAACGAATGCTTTAATGACATATACATATTTATAAAATTAATTCTATAGATTCTATCTATAATCAGATTAACAAATTCAAACTACAAAACACCCCTACTAAACTAACATTCTAGAAATCATAAATTCCTCAGCTTTTCTCCCAGTGCACTAAACAGTCTCTTGCGGCTTCTAGCTGCATTCATGTGTATCTGCTAAAATGCGCAATTAAGTCATCAAATGTTTGGCCTGAGTGTCCAAGCGACTTGACACAGCCACAGGCACACACACAAACACAAACACACAAGTCATTCGAAAGACCAAGACCAACTTGGAGTCCAAGTTCGCATTAGACTAATGCATTTGGGTGCAACCAGGAAGCCACCATCCAGTCCGGTCCGGCATTCTGGTCTCGTTCTGCCGCAGAGAGGGAAACTGGGCGAATGCGAAGGCCCCCACTGCCAACTTTTACTGCTTCTGGACGCGGCCGACTGCTAATGAAGCCTGAATGCCGAGACCGCGAACAGGATCTTGTTAGAGTGTCTGGGCGGAGAACGCAGAGCGGAGATCCGTTAGGAGCTGGCTCCAATTTATCAAGTGCCATTTGTAGGGTCCGGCCAAAAAGCCCAGCGGCGTCTCATTAACGCTTCCAGTCGCGTAGGCGGCAGAACGCGGCATATGGGGATTCGTCGAAACGGCTGCGGATTGATGCTGACGATTGTGTTCGCGGTGACCCAACTCACGTCCCATCTGTGTACACAGAGAAAAACGATACAATCGAGTGCCCCGTCAAAGAGATAACAACTACACAGGTTTAGGTTTAAATTGGACACCTGCATATGACAAACAATCACGTCTGCTGAATTTCTTTAACATGTTTCGATTTATATATTTTTGTATAAATAGGGAGACATTGTTTTCTTTAACATCCAATTAACTCATTAAATAAATCATTTAACAGCATTGTTCAAGTCGCTGAACCCTATCCACAGTATATCCTTTCCTACCGAACATTTCAATTAATTAGATCCATTTTAAATAAATAAATCATAATCAATACAATACAATTTAAACAATTATTAGGTTAACAAAAAAAACAGAAAAGAAGAAAAGAACTTATAAATCAGGCCACAATTAGTACTTCCGTCGATATAGCTCCTATATCTCAAAGTTGACTTGTAGTTTTAACCATAAAACAGCATTATAATAAATATAATAATTTAAGCAAATAAATTAACAATTAACTTATACCTTAAGAATATCTCGGATGACTTTAGGGCCTCTTGTTAATAATAATTGTTGCAGACTGTTATCTTGTTGCTTTAATTAAATACCATTATGTAATAATATTAAAAACATATCAACATATGCAATGCTTTAAGAGAACTAAAGCGCTTTCATATATATGGATTTTAATTTTTTAAGTTCTCATCCCTAGGCCTTTAAGTAATTATTTTTCTCATTGTAAAAGCAGCCGTAGGTGGATGTCTACCGGGCTGGCAACACGTGTTTTTTCAGCCAAATTGCTATCTGGGATCGGCAGAGTCGAAATGCATCTATCCGCGAGCTGGCTTTCTCCGCAAAGTGCCTCTCAGGTGGGGGGCGAAATTACTTTGCGGAAATCTCAACTCGAGTGGCTAAAATATTTCAAGAAAATCACGATTATCAACTTGAATTCCAGCGGGCGATCGGCGATCGGCGACCAGCCACAGACACTTTCACAAGCTTTTCGGCCAAGTGACATTTGTGCCAGTTTGCTGGTTCGCTTGATTTGCATTTGATTCTGATTAAGTCGACGCCGTCTGATTGATGGCAATTTCTAAAGTTTATATTTATAGCGCTGCCATGAGAAATCGATGTGGTGTGTGGGCGGCTTGAAATCTCTGCAATGCCACTCGGTAATTGTCCAGCTCGAAGTTGCCACAATTTGGCAACGATTTGTAAGCGGCATGACGGCACAAAATCGCGCCTTTTATCCGCTTCCCACCTGTATTTGACCAACAAAGCGATGGCCATTAAATTAATTACATGGGGCTGCGCACTCCTCCGATTTCAATTAAACCTAAATTACGAAAATTAAACGCAACAAAGAGGCAAACTGGTTATATCGGCATTGCCGAATCCCAATCCTGATCGTGGCTAGAACACTTAACTTGGTTTACACACGCTCCAAACCAGCGGCGCGACCTCTGGGCCGCCTCTGACTTATGGCCACTAAATTGCCTCCGACTCCATCCACATCTCCATCCATATGTCTTATGTTCCGCCGATGTATATATAAATACAGCAAATTGTTGGCGGGGCAACCGCACGGCGCATCCGAGGAGAAGATATAATCATAATCCGCCGGGGAGAACAGGAAATATAATGAGCTTCCAAAGCAACGCCCTTCAATTTAGCGAGCCCCTCCCCCTCCTTCGGCCCTGTTTGGCTAATTTTATTTGCGGTTTTCGATTTTATTTCATAAACACATTTTCTGCTTGGCAAAATACATTCCCTCCCCTCCCTTTTTCACGCAACTTTTTGATTATAAATTGAATTTCCCCCAACTCGAGGCGAAATCAATCAAATCTTCTGTCTTCTTCCCCATTCACTTGTAAATCTTGTGTTTTGTTAATGCGTTTTATGGATTCACGATTAGGTGTTGAATCAATAAAACTTGGGTTCTGACTTCTCAGCCACTTTGGGACAAAGACTTGGGGCCATTAAGATGGCTTATACAACATTTGGGCTTGGGATTGTGTCACACTCTTTGGAGGGGGTTGAACTTTCTGACAAACTACGCGAACCGAGTAGAGGTTTTGATTGGTTTCCTTCGCTGACAGCCCAAGAAATTACTCATACGCCCCACGAAAAAAAAAATTAATTAGAAAATATGTATGTTGAAAGAGAGAGCAGAAAAATCAGCTTCACTTCACTGGAGCGCAGAGCATTAAAGGGGCGTTACTTGATATGTCCGCGAATCAGTTAAAGTCAGATTAAGGCCCAGCCCCCCTAAACCCCCCTCACCCCCCGTGTTTGTCGGCCTTTTTGCCATTTCAATTAAAATGCCATATATCACGGCCAAGAGCCTTTCGCTCCATCCCCAACTACGGCGCACATCCAATGCAATTAAAATCAAATGCGTAGCTCATTTTTAAATCAAAGCAAATCGTAAACCGATAAGCCCAGAGTGGACCACCCGAGAGTTCGTGGACTAGCCTCTTGCTTTTTGCCAACTTCAATTAGCCCGGCTGAAAAAAAAGGCCATCGGCAGGCCTTATTTATTTACTTTATTGTTGAGTCTCTCGGGGAGCGGATTCCTATGCAAAGTGTTCTGCCTAGCCAGGCGCTTAATTACGCTTTAAGTAGCCGCCAGTCAATATTGATTTTGGTTTATTTAAACTGGGAATTTAATAGCCCCAACTGATTGCTAATGGGCTGTGTAGATGTGGATGTGGATGTAACTGCAAGGGCTGTGCGTCTCACATTACCAAGTTATCTTGGGGCAAATTTATGACACACTACTTCCAGCAATATTTTATGGACGCACCAGAAACCAAATCTAATTAACAGTTTGCGAAAATTTATGAACAGAAGTCCATTCAAATTAAGAACTCGAACGGAATGCAAAGAGAACAAAAGATGGCAGAAGATGCCGAAGATCGCCAAGATACAGAAAATCTTATCGACGAAGGGCCTTCAGTCAGGCGGTAAAAGAAGAACTCAATTTATGAAGTCGACGCATGGAATTTATGAGAGTGCAGAATCTCCTCCTCGGACTGGATGATGATGCAAACACAAAGTGACAGGGGAGAACCTCTGGAGGATGGTCATGGGCCCACTGGACCCGAAGTTCTGCCAACTTAATTTAACTGGTGCTGTTGCCACTTAGCTGCATGCAATTCATTTGACCAGTTTACAAAAGTCGACAGGAAAGGCAAGGGAAAAGCACGTGCTAACCACAAAGTTGATAAATAACTTTTTGTGTCAGTTTTGCAAATAGTCGGGCATTAATAACACCTTCTTAGCGGGTCCCAAAGAATCGCCTCCAGCTGACTGAGCCTCTTATGCCGGATTATTTCTACCATTATTCGATAGCAACCTGCAAGATTTTTACTTTCAGCACAATTGAAACTGATACGCGTAGCTAACAACTGCTGTTGATCAGGTGAAAATGATAAACTTTGGTCTATTTATAACCCAGGAAAGTATGATACATAGGCGGGATTTTAAAGAAGTTGAACCAACAACACTTTATAAAAACTATCTGATTAAACATTTAGTTAAGGTGTTGAAATTATATTTCCAATTTTACATATTTTATAAATTTTGTTAAAATATATTTCCTAAGAAACAATGGAATAACTCGTACAAATAATGAAGTAACTCTATAAATTCAACATTTTTTTCCTCTTCAAGAAACGCCTAATAATTCACAGATTAACTTAAAAAACCAAGCCTTAAAAACAACACTTATTGTCTATTAGTTTATTATTATTTACACAATTACAATTGTATTCGCCGAATTGTTTGGCCTTCATATTTTTCATTCAATAAGTCTGAAATCGAAAATCGACATTTGTAGAAAGTTGCAGACCCACATATTCAGCGGCCGCTAAAAGGTATTAAATTACCCAATACCCAAAGCCACATTTAATTATTTATGAGACGAAAATCTACAAGAAAGCTAGTTTCCTAACCCATTTTAATGTGAACTACTTTGCCCATAACTTCTGGATAACCATTGCACCAAAAAGCCATAAAATATGATTTTAGTGATTAGAAACCAAATCCTGCAAAGCCAACTGTTCTCAATTCGGGCTAAGAAGCTCGCTCATATATGTAGCTATTAAGGAGTCATTAAATTGGGCCATAAACTCCCGACTGCTTCCCCCCACCAACGTAGCGTTTTATGGTCATTTAATGCCGAAAAATGCAAAGCTCATCAAATGGATTTCAAATTAGTTGGCCAGCAATCGCCGAGAGTTATGGCCATTAGAGATAGGCCGGCGGAAGACTTACATTTTGGCTGCCGTCGCTGCTGGCGGCGGCGGTCTCTTTGACTGGCCATCAAACCGGGCCAATTGTTCTTCAATATCGCTGAGCTGGATATCGTCGGCAATGGCCTTGTTGAAGTAGCAGAAGGCCTCCCTCCTGCTCCTGTCCTCCACCTCGATCAGCTGCTCCGTATCCTTGGGATTCAGCCAGACGGCATTTCGATTCCGGCAGAGGTTTAGATTTCTTAAGTCTCCAAACGGCAGGGTCACTGCCGATCCTTGCAGCTTATCCTTCTGCTGCTGCATATGGATCCTGGCCATCTGGGCGGGAGTTAGGCTGCCGGTCAGCATGGCCACCTCCACATCGTCGTCGGTTTCTCCGTTGCAGGAGATTCCCGAGGAGTGGAACTGCTCCTCGCTGATTGATTTCCTATGCTCGCAGCCGGAGGATTGGGCCACTGCCATGGCCAAAGTGGGAGCTGGTGACTCATTGGGCAGTTCCAGGGCTATTTCGTAGGGTGCCAGGGTGATCTTGGCCTTTGGCTTGGTTTTGGTTCGCACCGCTGACTTAATGATGCACTTTGCGGCCGCGGGCTGATTTCCGCGATTCTTGGAGCAGGTGGACTTGCCACCTGACTTTCTGGGCGTCAGTTTGGTCACTGTCGATAGGCGGGATTGCTGCCCGGCGCTCATCTGTGGCATTTTTGGCGGCTGCACCTGCTCCTCCATCCGCTCCCTGCTGGCCAAACGTTCGCGCTCCGCCGACACAGCCCGGCGGCGACTCCGCCGAATGCTGGGCATGTTCCGGGGGAACAGCTTGCCCGCCTCCGCCTGCGAACTCTTGGACAGACTGTCGCAGCTCCGGTGGCGAGTGGGACTGCCACTGCTCGCGGTGGTGGTGGAGCTGTCGCTAATCGTGGTGGCCGTGTTGGCCAACACCGAGGAGCACTCGCTGAGGTTCACTATGTCCCGATAGTTCCTCGACTGATCCTGCTTCACCACCTGCGGCAGGCGGATCTGCCACCAGCGCTTCTTTAACTGCATTTTCAATCACTCAGGTCGCGGGCCAATCAATCAATTGACACATTAACAGAACAGGCAACACCTTAGGCAGCTGCAATTGCAATTACTGTCGCCAGCAATTAACGGGCAATCCGCTTGCTCCAATTACGTGCACTCGCGATCGATCGATTGGTTCTCGTTTCGAATTCTTAACTTCACGGAAGAGCAGCTCACATACCGCTCGCTTTGGGGCTGCTCAAACAACTGAAGATCGCGTAGAAAGTTGATGTTGATGTTGGCCAAGAGGCGGCGGCTATTAGCCAGGTTGGTGCAGGTCAAACTCACCTCGCGGCCAAACTCACCACAACACTCTCTCACAACTGCCTCTCTCTCTTGGCCAAAACAAGTGCAGGTAAAACAGGTGCCACCTGAGTCGAGTGGTTTTCGCCTGAGTGCTTCTGGTTCGAGCCAGAACCTGGTTGCGTTTATTAGCCAGGCATTGAAGTGGCAGATTCTGGTAGCTGGTTCCGCTGTCTTCGGGCCATTTGACACATTTCAGGCCGTTTAGTGATTGACCCATTTCAATCATGGCCAACAAGGGAGTAGGATTGCAACGGAGAGAGGCCACAGTGCGGCCTTTGGGCGTTTTGTTGCCACATTAGCGGCGCACTTATAGGCGGTCATTAGACTGCGGGCCAAGTGAAAATGTGGTAATCAGGTAAAACCCCTCACAATGAAATCCATCCGGGTGCCCGGGGCAGGTATATAGTTAGCCAATGAAAATAAAGACAGGCTGATAGAACGTGAAAAGGCGAATAAACCAATCAATGGAAATTAGGGTTTGTGGTTATCCCCAATGCTGCATGGGATTCTCATATTGTGGGAAAGGAATGGACCCACTTTATTCAATTAACACATGGCTTTTAACTACTACCAATCGAGGCATAATTGTGTAAAGTTAGCCATTATTTTAGAGATATATTTAATCGTTCTTTCAAAGCCATTTAACATTTACTGCAATGCATTCAACACTGCGAGTAATAAAATAGTAAGCGATTTATCGCGATATTTTACCATTTATTTTAGTGGTACATTTCCTGTTTAGCATAATAATAAATTATACTGTTCTTTGGGTAAAATTAAGGCTGATTTCTAAACATGCCAACAAATGATTAACACTCAAATTTTTCCAACCATTTATATCATTTTAAATACGAAAACTTAAGACTATAGTTACTTACATTTACAACTTTTCCAGTTGAGTTGCCATTGCGTAGCCCGCGTTTAAACAAATTGTTTTACCAACTGTAATGAAAGTCGAAAGCAAATAAATTAATTTTCTCATTTAAAGTTAAATATTTACACTCTTTTCTGACACTCAAAAGAGTGATGAACGAAATTGCCCAACTAATTGAGAGCAAGACAGAGAATAGTAAACATGAAACGGCAGAAAGCAAACGAAATAAGCAAAGTGACTGCAAAAGTATTTTAATTGCCTGGAGTTTCCCGAAAAAGAGGGAGCGTCAAAACTTTATTTGACAGTTGAAACAACTGAACAATTCATGAAACAATTTTGATTAAAACTGAGACACACAGTCTCCAACTGGAGAAATGTCAGCAAAAGCAGTTGGCAGATGCCAGCCAGCAGGTGAAAATGAGTGCACCGGGAAAAAAAGCTTGGGATATATGTTACAAAATTATTTAACGGATTCTATTCATTCGATTTATATTTAATGTGTATTTTTTAAGCATGTGACAACTAAAATGCCTTTTGTGATTTTTAATTTTGGGAAATTTTCTGGTCTGTGTATAAAAATCCATTCTATTATGTATAATTTTTTGGTTCTTTAAATAACTCTTGACGGGTACAAATGTATGCATTTAGAGTCCAAACCTCTTCCCGATCTGAACCCAATTTGTATTTAATCATTTGTCAATTTATTCTGTTCTTAAACAAGTATGAAGTTTAATTTTATTCTTTAACAAGTAAAGGATTTAACTAAGGTATTTTGTAAGGTGTATAGAATATAGTACAAGATTTTTTGGAGTAAACAAGTTTTACTATCATTAAAAAGTCGAGAAAATGCTATTAAACAAATGATTAACAAAGTTTGTATGACTTAAACTTTTAAACATTTTTATTCTGAGTGTACTTTCTAACCCCCAAGGTTGTGGGAATGGCCAACAGGTAAGAGTCAGCGTCATGGCGGGAGCACAAAAATAACAAACGCAAAAGTGACGCTAGTAAAACAACGACGATAATATCCTGCAGAGGTCGTAAAAGTTGAGATTTGAACGTGCAGCGTACACGTGTAAGTCAAAAGTTGCCCCTGGGAGGCGGGGGCGTGGCAGTTTGTCGCAGCTGCCTCCACTATGCGACGCAAGATGGCGCTGTAGAGCACTAAAAAGTATTAAAACAATTTACACTTTGTAAAAAAGCAACAACGCGAGCAATAACATCAACTGTTGTGCGGCTTGTGGCACGTGTTTTTGGGATGAGGGGGTTGTTCGTAGTTGTTTTGTTTTTAATATTTTTTTACTTGGCCCACACAACATGGTGCCCTGTCATAATCATAACTGTATCTCAGCGGGAAATTCAGCAATGGGAGCGAAAAAGAGGGAAATAAAATAAAATCAAGGCTGCCGTTGACAATCGCGTTATCATAATTCTTTTCTGCTAAATTCAAATAGCATTTTCGCCTATTTGCATAAACAATGTGAAAGTCGTAAAGTGAAAAATTGCAAAATATATATATATAAAATATAAGCGAGAAGGGAAAGGGAAAGAGAAAGGGAGAGGCGAAAGCACTTGAAAGGGGCGGATGGGCACAGAACGCAAAAAATTGAAGCTGCAATTGCTCGCTGAACAGTAAACGCACAGTGGAACAAATCGGCAAAATAAAAGGCTAAAATTAACAAATTAATAATTCGATTGGTATTTCTAATTTGATTTCCTTTTAAACATTTTCGTTAAGAACATACATATAAAAGAAATGAATAAATGAATTTATTTGATGTATTCCAGTTGTAATACATTTTTTGAGTTATTTTTTATTTTATTAACTTTACTAACAACAATGCTTAACTTATTTAAATAAATTAAAAAAAAAATTGCTTCCATTTCCGATATTCGAAAACTTAGCTGAAGAGCAAAACTATTGTAGTGCCATTAAATGTATCATTCTAGCAGACTTTTGTGATTTTTAGTTAGAACCACAGTAAGCCCACTCGTGCAATTCTCTGCTTACATCCGCCCCAGCATAAAAACCAGCAACAGGGAGTCTTTTTTATGAAAAGCGAGCTGCGTAGCCCCAATCCGCTTGCCAATCTCGGTGGCAGTTCCTCCGCCACCTTCTCCTCCCGCTTCTTGGCCGACTTCCTCTTAAGACAATAAGCACTGAGCCAGGATGCGCGGAGGAGGTGGGCTGGAAAAGCGGGGAGAAAGCAGCAGGAGCTGCCACAATTCACACACTCGCATGGCAGGAGTGTGTAGGCGGCGAATGTTTCCCTAATGATGACGTCGCTTATGAATTGTTGTTGCTGCCGGGGAAATGTGGCAAAAAATCTCAAGTGTTGCCTCCGTAATATTTATGAAAAATATTTTCCAGCAAGGGTGGGGATAAAGGAAAACAGCGGGACAATTGGACGGGGGAAAGTGGGAGGAGCAATGATTACGTTGATTTGCCAAATGGCGCTGATGACAGTCGGCAGCTGAAGAGGCTCCGCAAAAGCAGCGACTACGTGAGTCTACTGATTTTTAATTAAAAACGCAAAATGAGAGCGGTGGGGGAAAAGCCCACCAAACAGCGGGTGCGAGTAAAAAAAAAAAGAAGAAAGCCGGGGCTTCGAGCCAGAAACAACAAGAAAAAACCCAAAGTGCGCGTCACAAGGTTTCCTTTTGTTAATCGACTTGATTGTAAATATTTTCTTGCATAAACCCTGTTCTTTTCCTCCTCCCATGCTCGCCTGTGTCACTCCCCTATATTTCACTGTACAGGGGAAAAAAGATCCCAAACTGTAATTCGAGAACGGAGAATGTTGAATTCAGCTGAATTGATTGAGAACAATGATATTTGGAATTATAAAAATTGTATGTTGAGACATAAATATTGACGATGAATTTAAATAGGTTTGGAACTCATTTGATAAAAAATCACACAGCGCCTTAAAGGTCATAATTATACCCTTAGAATTTTGCATTACAAATAAGAGGATATACATTCGTTATAAAAACTCATTTAATGAAAAATAAAACACAACCTTATCTCTCCGTATTAAAATTCGCCATTTTGCTTTCTTTTGAGAGAATTTCATAATTTAATGGATAAAAGTATATAGATCGATTTGTGAATGTTTTATTTGTATGTGAAACACCTTACTTGCATGTTTCCATTCTAGAAATCAATGTGGCTCATGGTTTTTCGCATTATCTGGGTGTCTTTTCATTTAAACTCCTAAACATGATTAAAGCCAACTGATATTTAAATTTAATTCTTTATTTGTAATTCTATTTTTCCGAGTGTTGGTTTGTTTGGCGAAGGCGCCGCGACTCGGAACGAGCCGGATCGGGCGACTATATCATATAGCTGCCATATAACTGAACGATCGGAAAAGCCATAACTTTGGTGTTTTTAAAGATAAGAAGTTGGGACTTTCTATGGGTTTTATTTTTGGCCAATCAATCCGACATACCGAATTTCATAAGGATCGGCTGACTATATCTTATAGCTGCCATATAACTGATTGATCGGAAGTGCCATACCTTTGGTGTTTGTAAAGTTAAGAAGTTGGGATTTTCTATGGGTTTTATTTTTGGCCAATTAATCCGACCTACCGAATTTCATAAGGATCGGACGACTATATCCTATAGCCGCCATATAACTGATTGATCGGAAATGCCATAACTTTGGTGTTTGTAAAGTTAGGAAGTTGGGATTTTTTAAGGGTTTTATTTTTGGCCAATCAATCCGACCTACCAAATTTCATAAGGATCTCTTTTTTTTTTTTATCTCTCCTTTTAGGGCGGCGGGAAACCCCTCCAACTAAATAGAGAGTCAGAATCACTCATTTCTAAGCGGCTCCTCTTATCTCTCTATAATTGGACTTGTCAGTCTGAGCCCGCCTCTCAACGCCTACGGTCCGTCGCCAGCGCATAAATTTGTTGTTGTTGATAAGCAAGCTGCGGTGTTCGCAAAGCCCGTAGCCCTTGCATACATTTATAACGTTAATAAACTGAAATATTGAATTTATCTCGCCTTGTGATTTGTTTTTAAAAATAGCTGACAAAAAGGCTTGTTAGCTCAACATTTGGAGGCCCCGGCGAGATTCGTAAATTCAAGTCTGTGGAAATTCGTTTGTGCAAAAGAAACAGTGCACAAAGAAGACAAAAACAACTGTTACATTAGGCTGGTTCCGCTTTAAGCTGGTCCTAATAAATTTTCTGCCTCGCCAACTGGTGACTGTACTTTCTTGCCGTTACAAAAACAAAGACTTCTGACAATTGTAACTGTAAACTCCCGAGTTGTGCAGTGCGTTTCGGTTTGCTTTATACAAATACATACGCACAGATGAGTTCAGACGAAGGCAGCACAGTGGCAGACCATAATATTATGACGGCTGAAACTAAAGTGCGGTTCTTGAAGTGCAAAGCCGAATCGGTGTACAATAGCTTAAAGCGCATGGATATTTCGCTAGCTAAAGACGCGATTTGCCTGTTTGGGTCCGCGGAGTTGACAGTTCGGCTAGAACTTCTTGAGCATACTCAAGCCTCATTCAGGCTTGCCCACAATGCGCTGGAGGAGCTAGACTATTCGGAAATCGGCAGTGAGCTTAGCGACAATTTTGAAATGCTCATGGTATCGGTCAAGTCACGGCTAAGACGGCAACTTGACAACTGTCAGCTTCGAATGCCAACATCTTCCACTATGCACCTTGATCCCAACCTGGATCAGTCAACTGTCATGGTTGATCGAGGGCATAGGACTCGCCTGCCCGAAGTAAAACTGCCTACATTCTCTAGTGGATACACCGAATACTCAGATTTCCTCTCCATGTTTATCTCGGTGATAGATAAGGACCCCTACTTGGCTGACATAGAAAAGCTTCAACATTTGCGGTCATGCTTAGCTGGAGCTGCGCTGGAGTCGGTTCGATCATTAGAAATATCTGGTGCCAATTATCGTGTGGCACTAGAAATCCTAAATAAACGTTTTAATAATAAACGTCTTGTTTTCCAGGCACACATCAATGAAATTCTTGGGCTCAAGAGGCTCGAGTCTGCGTCTGCTGTGGCATTGCGGGATTTTTCGGACAAAATTATTGGGCATATGCGAGCGCTTCAGGCCTTGGGAGATTTAAAACAAATCTCAGGCTGCATGGTTGTATACATGATAGTGCAAAAATTGGATGCAGCAACCCAAGCCAACTGGGAGGAAAGTTTGTCAACGGATATGATTCCAAGCGAGGAGGATTTGCTCTCGTACCTTGAAGGGCGATGCCAGAAACTGGAGAGCGTTCAGCATGCCTTGGCTTCCAACATGGCCCATGACCATTCAGCTCCAAGGCCTGCCAGAAGGACGTTACTTGGTGCCCAGGTCAGCCAGAGTAGCTGCGTTTTTTGTGATACTCCTGGTCATGGAATATACTCCTGTAGCTCCTTCGCCGGTCTGTCTCCTAGTCTACGGCAAAGGGAAATAAAAAGACTTTCCTTGTGCTTCAATTGCCTAAAGAAGGGGCACCACACTCGAACGTGCAACTCCGGCCATTGCCGCACATGCGGTGGAAAACACCACACGCTGCTCCATCTACGCCCTGATGATTCACCACCCTCGCAGCCATCTGCCTCGCTTGCGGCCCAAGGATTTCATTCTGATGTTGTGCTTTTGGCCACCGCTATAGTTCTTGTAAAGAACAGAGCTGGTTCCCCGGTACCTTGCCGAGTCCTACTGGATTCTGGATCTCAACTACACCTAATTACATCTCGCTTCGCCCAGGAGTTGCAGTTAAGGAAATCTCGGTCAGCAGCAACGGTAACTGGTCTTGGTGATACAGCTGTTTCTTCAGAAGGATCTACAGTCAGCATCTCCCTCCAGTCGCGTTCTTCTGAATACTCTGTGGCTCTAACGGCACTGGTCGTGCCAACGATTACAGACAGTCAGCCTAGTTACATCATTGATATCGCTGATTGGAATATGCCATCTAACATACAGTTGGCTGACCCTGCATTCAACTGTCCCCAGCGCGTTGACCTGCTTCTTGGTGCCGGCCTATTTTATGACCTGTTATGCGTGGGCCAAATTAAGCTGGTTCATGGATTGCCTCTACTGCAGAAGACTCGCCTTGGCTGGATCGTGACTGGTGGTGGAGATAGACTTCGCGGCAATACATCTCTTTTAGCATCTCAAGGCTTGGAAAATGGAGCTACACTACATAATGTCCGCTTGGAGGATCTGGTTAGGCGATTTTGGGAAGTCGAAAATTTGGACAGTGGAGTCATAATGGCCAGCAAGGAAGAGCTGGAGTGTGAGGATCATTTTATCAAAAACTTCCATCGTCTTCCCTCTGGCGCTTACTCTGTTCGCCTGCCGTTGAAGCACCATGCTAAAGCCCTTGGCGATTCCTACACACAGGCACACCGAAGATTTCTTAATCTTGAACGCAAACTGCAAAGGAATCCCCATTTAAAGCGTCAATATGTGGCCTTTATTAAGGAATACTTGGAGCTAAACCACATGTCCAGAGTCAGCCCCGAGGCTGTGGGTCTTTGCAAGTATTTCCTGCCGCACCATTGTGTTCTAAAGGAGGATAGCACAACAACCAAGCTTCGCGTTGTTTTCGATGGATCGGCGTTAGCCTCATCCGGGTCGTCTCTTAATGATGTCCTTATGGCTGGGCCCGTTATACAGCCAAGGCTGTTTAACATTTTGATAAAATTTCGTACTTATCAGGTGGCCCTGACTGGAGACATTTGCAAGATGTATCGGTGCGTAAGGGTGAGTGAACCCGATAACTACTTGCAATGCATTTTATGGCGAGACGAACCGGACAAAGAGCTCGAAGTTTACAAACTGGATACAGTGACCTACGGAACCAAGCCTGCCTCATTCCTTTCTGTTCGTGCAATGCACCAGCTGGCCATTGATGAGAGGGATTCCTTCCCTGCTGGCTCAGTTGCTCTGCAACAAGATTTCTATGTCGATGATTTCATCTCCGGTGGAAGCTCTGTTGCTGAGGCTATTGAGAAAATGCGACAGACCACTGAGATACTTGCTCGAGGTGACTTCAAGTTACGAAAGTGGTGCACCAGCCACCACGAGGTCTTAAAGGATGTGTCAGATGATGACAAGGAGAAGTATTTGAAGTTCGACGATGGCAGCGATATAACCAAAACTCTTGGTCTTGCATGGGATCCGGCAACAGACGAGCTGCTGTTCTCTTTATCGTCTCTAGATCCCGGCTCCAAGGCCTGCCGACGATCTGTTCTGGCCACCGTTGCTCGTTTCTATGACCCGCTAGGCCTTCTTGGTCCAGTAATCACAAAGGCCAAGGTGTTTCTTCAACAACTCTGCAAGGACAAATTGGATTGGGATGAAAGTTTGCCCTTAGATCGTAACACCTGCTGGATTGAAATGTGCATCAGTTTTCAGAGCGTTCAACGCATATCATTCCCAAGATTTTTGCTTCTTTCAGAAACTGATGTTGAAATTCATGGTTTCTGCGATGCCAGCGAGGAAGCTTACGGAGCTTGCATATATGTGCTGTCTAGGGGCACTTCTCCAGCCAGCAGCCATCTCTTATGTTCCAAATCCCGAGTAGCGCCTCTCAAAACGATATCTGTACCTAAGCTGGAGTTATGTGGCGCCCTGCTACTAGCCAAGCTGATGAATGAAGTTATGAAAATGGATATGTTCAATGGTCCTTTTCACTGCTGGTGTGATTCCTCTGTGGCGCTATCCTGGATCGGTAATGAGCCTTTCAAATTCAACGTCTTCGTGGCAAACCGAGTGGCTTCTATACAGGAATTGACTACTAATATGGAATGGCATCATATTCCGACTACACTGAATCCTGCCGACATTTTGTCCAGGGGGTCTACTCCGGATTTACTGGCGCTTTCTGAGATCTGGTTTCATGGCCCACCATTTTTACTTGGTGGTCGCAAGGATTGGCCTACGCGTCTGCATTATGGCGATCCGAGCCTTGAGTTACGTAAACAGGTGCTGATGGTCAAGTCACCTCACGTTGATGTTACCCTTAGATCCATGCAGCGCGTGTTCGCATACATTTACAAATTTTCTCATCGCTTGTGGCATCGTGGTCTCGAAATATCTGATGTGCAACGTGGGACATATATGCTCTGGCGAGGCGTCCAATTGGCTCATTTATGGGAGGATATAAAGGAGCTTCGTTCAAATAGCATTGTTAAGAAATCAAGTTCTATTGCTTCGCTCTTGCCCTTCATAGATGCATGTGGCCTTCTTCGAGTTGGTGGACGCCTCGAAAATTCAACACTTGCGTATGAGGCTCGCCATCCCATAATAGTGCCACGTCGTCACCCACTCACCTTAGCGCTCATCATGCACTTCCATAAGATGAACCTGCATGCAGGACCGCGCGCTCTGTTGGCAAGCATCCGACTACAATACTGGCCTATTGGAGGACTGCGAACGGTCTCAAATGTACTGAAAGGCTGTGTGGAGTGCTTCCGGGCCAGGCCCAAATTTCTGGAACCAATCATGGCTAATCTTCCGAAGGAACGTTTGGAGTGCGTACGGGCCTTTGCTGTTTCTGGCGTCGACTATTGTGGACCTTTCCTTTACAAATCAGAAGTTCGCACCAGGTCTCCCATCAAGTGCTACGTATGCGTGTTCATCTGCTTTACAAGCAAGGCTGTGCACTTAGAGCTTGTCAAGGATCTAACAACTGCGTCGTTTTTAAGTGCTTTGAAAAGATTCATTTCTACACGTGGAAAGCCTAGTCAAATTTGGTCGGACAATGCTACCAACTTTGTAGGAGCAAAAAATGAGTTGGCGGATTTGAAGCGGCTGCTGCTTAGCGATTCTCATATGCAGTCTGTTCATCAAGCTTGCTTGGCTGAGGGAATCGACTGGCAATTTATTCCGCCTCGCTCACCACACTTTGGCGGATTGTGGGAGGCAGCAGTCAAGACGGCCAAACACCATTTCTACCGCTCTGTTGGCCGCCAAACGCTTAGTTTTGATGAGCTTCGCACTTTGGTTTGTCAGATTGCGTCAATCATTAATTCTCGCCCCTTGCTATCCATTTCAGAGAATCCAGATGATCTTGATGTTTTGACTCCTGCCCACCTACTTTTTGGTGGCCCTTCCACTACTATCATTGAGCCCGATCTAACCAAGCTTAACTATAACCGCTTGGATGGTTGGCAGCGTGTAACATATCTGCAGCAACTATTCTGGTCCCGATGGCAGAAGGAGTATCTTACCCTTCTGCAACAACGCACCAAATGGCGGTCTCCTGAACGAATGCTGAAGGTCAACGACGTAGTTTTGATAAAGGATGAAAATCTACCTCCCATGCGGTGGCCCTTAGCTAGGGTGACCGCACTTATTCCTGGACGAGATGGTGTTTGCCGAGTTGCTGATCTGAAAACGTCCACGTGTGACATCAGGAGAGCTGTTAATAAGTTGTGCCTGCTGCCCACCAATGATGAAGTTGAAAGACAGGCTTCCAACGGGGGGAGTATGTTGAGCGCAGCGGCAAACCACTCCAACTAAATAGAGAGTCAGAATCACTCATTTCTAAGCGGCTCCTCTTATCTCTCTATTAATTGGACTTGTCAGTCTGAGCCCGCCTCTCAACGCCTACGGTCCGTCGCCAGCGCATAAATTTGTTGTTGTTGATAAGCAAGCTGCGGTGTTCGCAAAGCCCGTAGCCCTTGCATACATTTATAACGTTAATAAACTGAAATATTGAATTTATCTCGCCTTGTGATTTGTTTTTAAAAATAGCTGACAAAAAGGGTTGTTAGCTCAACACTGCCATATAACTGAACGATTGGAAATGCCATAACTTTGGTGTTTTTAAAGTTAGGAAGTTAGGGCTTTTTATGAGTATTAAGAATACATCATATGAATAATTTTGAAGAATATAATTTACAGAATATTCTGCAAGGGTATATCAACTTCGGCTCCGTCCGAAGTTAGCTTTCCTTTCTTGTTCATTTTGTATTTTTGCAAATTATGGGTAAACCAATGTTTTGACATGAAAATTATTTAACAGCTTTATGAAAAGTATCCAGGAACTTCATTAAATAGGTATTATATACAATTCATCCTCATTTATCTTTTCTCAAGCTCTCAAATAGATAACTAGATTTAATTGCTTATTATCAGATTTCTCAAAAAATTACGAATGGTGAAGACAATTCATAATTTGGTATGACCACAAGTTGAGCACAACTCGTTCTCTAATCTAAAGAGATTAAAAGAGCAGTTATATTATTTATTATTTTTCTAGCTTTCATAGCATATTATGAAATTTCTAAAAATTCTACTGTTGCTAATCATTCAATGCATGAATTATGATTTAGCAGGAGCTAGAATCGAACTTTTATTTGTCGCCATTCTGTAAAGATTAAGCCCCATATAATATGCATGTTTTATTGTTAAAATATATTTATATAAAAGCCGTATTCTTTTATAATTCCCTGTATTATAGATATGCTGGCTTTAATTTGACTAATTAGTCTAACCTTTATAGGTATTGCCTACTTTTGGGGTGAACGTTTTTCGATTTGAACAAAAACCATTTCCATCAATTAAATGAACGTGACATGCCATATTGTTTGCCCATTTGTCAAACAACTTGTTGACAGGCAGAGGCAATTTGCCAACACTTTTGCTTTACCGCTGACCAAATACGAAAGTGAAAGGCTGCATTGTCTGCATTGGCCGATGATGATGCGATGAAAAATTCAGCAAAAACCTGCAATCGCACTGATCATTTTCAGAGAGATTTCAGCACACGACACTCCAAGTGAACTGTGAGGAGGGGTAAATGAAAACGGATGGGATGGGATAATTGTGTACATAATTAAATGGCAATGCGTATGAACCGAACCGAAGTAAACTGGACTGGATGGGTTCGATAAACACCAGCCAACACCCTCAATTAGGAGCCGTTGACTCGGGCAAACAGGCAAACAAATAAAAGGAAAGCCCAAAGGCAAACACTTTGCCTTTGTCTTCGAGCAAACACAATGAAAAGTGCAAGGCAGCTGAAAACTGCACCCCCGGCCCATGAATCTTCAATCTCCAGCTCAACCCCCGGAATTAGTAAGCTTTCATTAAGAATTATGAATATTGAATAGACCCCAACCTCTGCAGGGATTCTTCGCCATCAAATCAGGCAAAAAGCCTTCAGCTTGCATAAGTATTACGAGTGTGTGTCTAAGCTAATAAACATTGCAGTGTGGGGGTGTAAATAATTAAATTCTTAATTATCTCCAACCGCCGGCAAAGAATACCTCGCACTCGTAAACTCTCATATGAGGAGAGACATGGGCGGGGTGTTTCCGGATTCCGGCAGTGTCACATTCACTTAATTAACTTTAATAATTCATATGTGCGACAAGCGAAACTTTTGCTTTAAGCAGGTGGAAAACCCATCCCTTCACATCACCGGGCTAAGTGGAAGTAATGTCATCACCACCCTAATGAGCGAATTAGTATTCATTATTAGGTGTCGCATCAGGAGCCCTCTTCGCAATTCTTTTCCCGCACCCTGAATTTGCATAATGCCCGGGCTTATCGGTCGAGGTGGGGCGTGTCACCGCCCCCGAACCTTTGAATAGTTGCCAAGCAGAGTGGCTAAATTAAAATAAATTGTACTTTTCAGTAGTACTAGTTGTAGTTCGTAAGTGTTAACGACACAATTGTGGTTCATGTCAGGGTTGCCTTAGGCAATTGCCTGGGGATAACCCACGGGTAATCTAAATCTAGGGGGAACTCGAGCACAGATAAGCCAGGTGATTATAGAGGCTAATACAGAAGGTAATTAACAAATGAATTTAATTTGTTCGCGGCTTTCACTGTTTTTATGACGTTACTAGTTTGGAATGGATATTAGATTTGTCTTTAATGTACACAAATTTAAATAGAAGGGAATTTTATTTATAGTTTCCACAGATTTGAATTAATTCATAGTATCACAAAAGTACATATATTGGTTTCAATCGAGCTTTTCTAGAAGACGAAACTTCGATTTCAAATTTAAGAAAGTGAAAAATTTACTAATGATTTTTGATAAAGCTTTGCAGAAAATATTTATTTCAGTTTAAAATCGAAAAATGTACAACCACGCAAACTATTTATTATATTATAGCGTTTCGACCACTCGGTTCAATAAAATCATTTATTTGACCTTTTTAACATTTACGCAGATTATGTTTGAATCGGATCTGACTCTTGATTCCATTGGAGTTATTCTTTTATTACAGAAACCATAGCAATTATTTCATTTATAATTTACTTTTCGCAAACATACTTTTTAAGTTTTCAAATAAAAGTTTTAAAAAATCCAAAAAGTACTTTTGATTTAAGTTTTATTTTTAAAACTAATAAACTACTTTTGACTTTAGTTTTAACTTTACAACTAATAAAGTTATGACCAAAATCATGCTGGTCCTAAACTTTTAAAGTTATTTTTTTAGTTTTTAAACTATATTACTTGTATTATCGTATTTTCATTTCACAAACAAAAACCTCTTGGTTTTTTTATTTAAAATACAAAATATACTTTGTAGAATTTCAAGGGGCTTTATAACCTTATTCTGTGAAATCACTTTCACTTCATTGGGCTTTCGAATCGCAACCCTAAATTAAGAATCTATTGTTGGGCTGCTCTCCTCCTGGAAATTTGATTGTTCCGGACATTAATTCCCATTCATCGCCTCTTAGTCATTAGGCCGATATCCCTGGCAGATGGGCTCTCTGGTTTCAAAGTGAGGCAGGAAGCGTTTCGAATTAGGCATTCATATCACATGACACCTACCCGTCTCATTACCCTGACCTTCAGTTAAGTTTATGAACCACCCACAGTCGTTCTCGGTACCAATTAGACGCCCATCAGCTTTGGCTTTTGGCCATTCTTCGGCCAACTTGGTCACTTGGCCGCCAGTTGAGACACACTCGAACTTGGCAGCTGTAAGTTCATTACGCTTACCCAACTCGCTCGCAGGGAAATCCCCCGGCTTTTCTTGGCTCCGAGTTGGTTGACTTCTAATCCAATTAGAAATTCCGCCGCTGCACGTACTTTTTGCGATACTTCTTGTTAGACTTTCACTGGCTCGTTAAGCAATTTGCGCGGTGAGGCGAACCGAAATTTAATTCGAAACGGGCGACAAAACTCGAGGACAAAGAGTCGACCAGGCAAATTCAATTTGTTGGCATTTCAATTTTCAATTTTCACCTTCGTTATTCAATTATGCACACGCGTTCGTGAATTGGAATTCATTAAAACACTCTTGTTCTGGTAACCCTTCTCAGTCAGCCTCGCACAAAGTCCACTCGAATGGACTTGAAGTCGAGGCGGTACGCGAAAGTCGAGGAACGCGAAGAAAGGATCTGGATGTCGAGGATATCGAGGATGTCGAGGATTTCGAGGATACTCCGCGCACGTTATGTAGTGCCGCGATAGCAAACCGCAACTGAACTCCGGCCGGAGACTGACTGTCTGGCCAGGACACTCCGTGGCTCTGTTTTCGGTCCTGGTGACTTCAAGTCTGGCATCGAACTTGCCTCGCGTGGGTGTTTGTGTGTCCGTTTCGCTTTGTTTTGGTTTGCCGCTTCGAACCGCGTTGCATACGCGCAGGCGCCCCTCGAAAATCCCTCTTCGCCTAGTTGCATGCAACAACTAAGAGAACGCTCGCTCTTAGCCTCCTGTTTTGATTGTTAGCACTTGTTTTGATTGGCGGCAGCAATCGCACTTTTTGTGTTATTACCGGCAATCAGGACTGATTTGTCAATTGCAAGACATTGGGGAAATCGGAATGAGTTGCTATAAACACTTTTAATTGTCTTACATTCATGGCTAATAAACTGAATAATACAAAACAGATTTTTTTAATATTTTTTAGACGTCAATTTTACGATTCGGTACTTGAAAGGCATTTTGGAATTCTAAATTTTCTTCTGAAATTGCTTTTAAATATCTTACATATAAATGGCTAATAAATTGACTAATTAAAAACACACAAAATTAAGGTCAAAACTTTTATAAGCGTTAATTACATACTTGTCTCCGTCGGTTAAGTGAAATGCTGTTCTGATAAGCTGCAATAATCCCACCTTTTCTGGGATAATTAAGAGTCATTGGGGTTCTCTGAATAATTTGCTATAATCACTTTTATTTAACTAATAAACTCCTTTATCAAAAACAGATAATCGTTTTATTTCCTGTTTTTTATTATTTTCTAATAACGATGAAAGCTCAAAACTGTTTTTTTTGTTAATTGCATAGCTATGTAACACAAGGGGATAGAGTGAATCTATTTGGTATAACAAAAGCTGCAATTTGTGGGAATTCTCGATTTTTTTGACAAAAAAAGGTAGAAACTTTTTTATTTTACGAATTTATAAATACCCATAAACCATTTGTGATTTCAGTAAAAGTCATAACATACAAATAGATGAATTGTTATATTATCTTATTATATTAAAGTTTTATTTATTTTGCGATTTTAATAAATACATTTTAATTTAAATGGACAAAATTCAAAAGCACCTTAAGGCAATGTATTATATTTCAATTATAAAAGTTAACAAGACACTGTTTAAGTTTTAAGTACTTTTTTAATTAACCATACTTATTTAACAGTTTCACTTTTTCCTCTCAAGTCCAATAACTTTCAACTTTAGTTAAAGTCTTTTTTACTATCCCAGTCTATTATCCTATTCCATTAAAGTGGCTATCAATTGGCAATCCGTCAATAAAAAAACGCAATGTATGTAAATGGATGGGAATTAAAATCAATCTGTTTTAGTGTTGGCTAAGACCCGACAATAATGCAGCCACTTAAGGCACGAGAACGGCAAGGGGCAGTCCGAAAAAGAGGGGAAGGCAGAGCCTGAAGGCCAACATTTATGCCACCCCAGAGACTTGGCCATTTACGATGGCTGGTGACCCCGGCAAGTGTCGTCCTTGCGCCACCCCCACCTCACTTTTCCTTTTCCCAGCCGGAAACCGCACACGGAAAACCTGAAGAGGGGGACATCTTGTGGCCAGGACACTGTTTCGCGGTCCTTGGGTGGCTGTGGATGTGGAGGGGCAGGTGGATGGGGAAGGGAGTGGGATAAGCAGCTTGACAACTTTGCTTAAAGTTATTTGCAATTCTTATAAATGTGCATGCGTTACGCACCGTTGCCCAATTACGTGGGGATGGATGGTGGATTTTTTGGATACAGGCAAGTGGACAGAAGGTGTGGGCCATGAATCCAATGCGAGCATACTTAGCAGCCAAGGTGAAGCTTTCAGCTACCCTCGAGTCCTTGCTGAAGGTGCATTTTTGCCCCACAGGATTTGAATGTTTTTTTTTTTCTTCCTGCTCGCTTTTGCCTTTTCCTAATTCCTTTATGGGGTGACTAGAGAGGGTGGCTTTCCCAATGGCCTGACAAAATTTGAAATTGAAATTGCCTCTGCAGATTGGCGGCTTTTATTTATACGGCCAACTTTTATTTCCTCACTTTTGTTCCTTTGAGTTGGGTGGGCTAGTCCCATCCCCGCTGGCAAAGTATATTAATGAATGTGTGAAATGCGTTCGTTCGGTCCGGGACTTGTCATAAAAGCTATCCACTATTAAACAGCAATAACGATTGCCGTAGTCCGATCCAATCCCCAAGCCCCTCACAGTAGTCAACACTTTGTTCGCATGTGTCAGTCGCAATTTTACGAGCGGAATACTTTTGGCAAAAAGTTTTTACGTCGACAAGCGGAAATGGCATTTTTACTGGCCATCTAAGCAGCTCCATCCCCCCACCTATCCCAAAACCCACTCGTATTCCACCCAGAAATGCCACACAGATTGTGTCCAGCTGTTTGAGGGGGAAACCCCGATTCGAGTTTGCCTTTTGCCTGTTCGCCAATGATGGGAAAATTGAAAACTACGAAACCTATTTGGGGGGGAAGTGGAAAAGTTCTGGCATGGGGCATTTTCTGCTGCAATGGCACAAAAATTGATTTGTTGTCGATTTCAGTGGGGTTTTGGTTGTGATTCCGTTTTCAATCTAATTTATGGGCACTGCAAGTGCAAGTAAACATGTGCGACAAACGACCTTATGAAGCCAGAACTTTCTTCTTACCAAAGCTGTTAAAACAAAATGTTTTTCTTTTAGTATATTTTTCGGTTTATTGGAATTTGAGTGGAGACATCGAGCCAGCTGAGCAGAAGACGGAGCAGTCGTTGGCGATTGGCACAGGATGTGGTGCCTTTTAGTTGGTTGTCAGCAGCAGAAGCTTCTGCCATTTGTCTTTCTCGATTCCATTCGATGAGAACTGCAAACGTGTTGAGTATTGTGCGGGGAAGATGCCAAAGGGGCAGATGGAGAAGATACCGATCGTCAGTCAGTGATCGATTGAACTGCATGTGTTATGCTAAATGTGTGGGCAGATTGCCTCGAATCTCCGATGCGCTATGAAAGCAACTATGGGAATTCTGAATATATAAAATAATTGTATAAAACTATATATCTTTTTAAATTAAACGGACAGATCCTAGGTGTAGGTTTAACTCAGTACTATTAGGTTTTTGTTAGTCAGCACTTATGGTATCTTCCCACATTAGTTAGAACATATTAACAAATTATTTTCCAATATTCTAGTTCTTGTCCGTATTTTCTATTTATTTTTTCAATATATCATTTCACGTTTGGGAGCTCTTATCTCCATTCCATTCTATTAATTCAGTCTCCTCCACATTAGCAGTCACATCATACATATAAGGAAGCTCTGACCCTTCTACTCGCTTCTCATTAACATTACTTACATATGGGGGATTTTCCTAGAGGTATTCGGTGAACTTCTCCGGCGCTCTTCTCATTAGCAGGAATTACGTATGCTTAACCCCTGGAGCTATGTCAAAGCTCAGTCCATGACATTGCTAGAGTCTTGAGTCTGATTTCCCCGACCTGTTCTCGGAGTCGCCCGTCTGTCCACCTACTTAATTATTTAAAGCATTCGCACAATTTTTCACAAACATGTTTTTCTTATTCACTTAATTCACTTTTTTCCTTTGACAGACGTATCTGAAGTTCAGGAACAGGTTGCCCAGACCGAGGAGATACACCCAATGCAGATGCAAGCACACAGTTACGGATACAGAGGGACTGAGATACAGGTACGCGGAGATATATAGATAGCTGGACTGTAGCTGGAGCCAAAGCATTCCTTAGCTGGAAGCCTCACATTTATGCCAAAGTTAAGTGAACTTGATGCCTTTGCCTTGCCTTTATCTGCAATCCGCGTATAAGTTGTGAGTTTTTTAATTGCAGTCTAAATGGACTTCAATGAATGCAGGGAACAGTGGCGACTCCAGGTTGCCAGTTGCCAGTTGCCAGTTGCACTGCCACACTGCCACGGCGGCAGTTTATCTTTTGATTGTTGCAACTCCGGCGTGTTGGAGCATTGGAAGCCCTCGAAGGGCTCTTAAGTCGTAGCGACGTCGCCTTTTTTAGTGAACTCAAGTTTTTAATTACAGCAGAAGTGCTTCTGTCCCTGGCTCAATCTCTATCGGACTCTCACCCCCTCAATCTATCTGTCGAGTGGGCCGTCTGTGTATCTCTATTTCGCTGCTCGAAAGAAATTAAAAGTTCCGCCGGAGCAGGGAAATTGTTTCGCTTTTGTTCTTCGCATTGGATTTCGCTGCTGCTCTTAATACCAGGATTGATGTGGCGCATTAAAAACGCAAGCAACTGGCATTGGCCCGGCATTCTGGCCAAGATTGATGAAGCCACTCTAAGCCGCAAGAGCTGCTGTCTCAGCTGTTGTTGTTGCAGTTGCACTGGGAGCACGTACTTTGTCTAACTGCCAATGCGGCATTCCCATCGTCCAATCGCCAACCCATTGCCAATGCCAATGCCAATGTCTTGGCCACATGCCGCGCATGGCCACAATTCGTAAATTTATTAAACGTCAACACGGCACTGAGCCAAATAAACTTGTCTCACGACAACAGCCGGCAACAGCAAACCCCTGGCAACCCTGGCTATTCCCCCAACCTCCCACCACCCCCTTCTTTTTTCTTGTGCAGTCTCCTCGAAGGCTGCCTGGCACGCAGCAAACGGTTAAAATTAATAAAGCATCTTTGCCTTGCCTCGACTGCTTCCTTCGCTCCGGCTTTCGCCAACAGAACTACACTCAAAATAATTAGCACTTAGGTACAGGGAATAATCATTTGGCAGAATCTATATTTCTCTGGAAAATACATTTAAAAAAGGTTAACCTAACTTCTAATGTTTGGTGCTATTTGTATTTGATGTTGACCCTAAATGCGAAACAAATATATTCATTAAAATATTATAAAATACAGAAATCTATAATATTGACTTTGCAATCAAACGAATTTGAACAATCTTTTTAACAATCTTTTAAAAAAAACTTAGGACTTTATTTATCAAAAAATATATATATTTAATTTGTCTCTTTTGTATTAGATTTC